TTTTTTTGTGTTTGCTTCACCACACTGACAAATTAATTCGTGTTTTTAAGATCAGTTGGCAGAAAGTTGGCATTACTTTGATGCAGTTTTTCCTGCACTTTTTTTCGCAAAGTGTTTCCCCTTCAAAAGCATGCATCCGGTTAAAACGCATTTTGTACACTGCTGAAGAAAAAGTTCAAACTGTTGCTGAATGAATGCTTAAAACGAACTGTAGCGTAAAGATTTTGTCGAACAAATTTGGATCGTATGATCTCTTTCCATAGCGTAGCCTTAGAGCGCCGTTAAGTGCTGACGCGAATTGTTCCAAATCACGGTCTGACCTGCGACCCCGATCCGCTGGGACAGCACTTCAATTCATTAATTCATAGCAAATAAAAACGCTCAAGCAAGTTACATTTTAGATTTGCCTGGAAAACTTCTGGGATGATGTTATCTGAATGTATTACTATTTTTACTATTTTCAAAGTTTTTTTTTTCTTTTACTACAGCGATATTTTTGACTTTTCGAGCATATTAAACGTAACTGAACTGAAAGAGGGAACTCCCTTTTCTTTGGTTTACTGCTTATTAAAGAACGTGACAGTTCAAAAAAAATAAGATTACCTGGCAGACTGTATAAGAAGTGCAGCGGCAGCAAACAAACACACAGTAAACATCTTGTTTTGAGCTCCAGTTACGCCTTGAAAACCGCTGCAATATCAGTCTTATTAAGCTCCTAGATGAGCAGTATACTCATCTCAGTTATGCCGAAATCGCGTTATTAAATTCTGTCAACAACAGAATAGCAGAAAATGAGGATTTAATTATCAATTGTGCAAAGTACTATCCATGGGCTTGCTTGTAAGCAACTCTCAAAAAAGGGAGCCATCAACAGAGCGTGGTTACTGCTGGCACTTGCTGCCACTCGGACTACTTCGCAAGTGCCCCAGCTTCTCACTGAGAGCGAAATGCGAAGGGAGTTTTGACTATCCATGATTAGCCGACCCGATCCATTACAGTGCAGCACAGGCGGTGAGACGAAGTCGGCATAACTCACTTTCTAATTACACAGGGTTCAGCCCCGCCTTTTTTCCCCGTTTGACGTGATTTGCAAACGTATAAAATCTGACACGGGGATTTTCTCATGCGAGCAACAAATCCTCTTAGCAGATATCTGCAAAGCTGCAGCATTCTGCGATTATCATCGAGCATTAAAAAATAGTTTGCAATTATGTTTCGCGCAATTGCCACTAAAACAGCGAAAGTTTACATGAGCTAAAAATACAGCAAATCTGGCTGACAGCTGCAGATCAGCAGAAAGCCATGCAGGTAAGACCAAGGATGTTGTGCTGAAAGGATTTTAATAAGCTGCGTATGAGGTACGGCTGTGTAATAATAGCTCTGATTCTGACCTTTTTTGTTACAGGCTAATATCCAGCTTGCTGCATATAATTTGCGCAAGTATACTGAAATGATGTGAAGCCGTGAAGACAGGTCTTTGATGTTCCTTGCTTTAGGAAATAAGGAACGTGAAAGTCGATTTGGCATGCCTAGGCAGTACTTAGCCTGGGTTGAAAACCCAATTTCTAGCTGCCGGGATTTCAGAGCTTGCAGTTAAAACATAACTTCAAACAGGTGCATAAAGACACAGAAACATAGGCTGCCTATAAAACGTTTTTTTGATTTATGCAAAGATGCATGGAGTTGATAATGGAATGAGGAGTTGGTATGATATGAGATAAGTTACTCTCACCGATTCACTAGCAACAGGTGAACATAAAGAAAACAACGGACATTTTGAAACAGAAATCCAGGTAGCGGCGCGTCAGGCTTGCCGGCATGATCATATATATTCTCATTTGCTGCGAAATTCCTGCGAAAAGCTGGCAAAAGAAGCATGTATGCACAAATCGGCGTACAGCATATATATATATATACGATGTACGCCGATATATATATATATATAGGCTCTGAACTATGTGGAGCACGGAGAACGGTGATGTAATGGTAACACGTTGTGTGCAGATGTGAAAAAGAGTGGTTCGATTCCTTTCCGGTCCAGAATAATTTTTGCGAAAGGGCTCTGTTTCCAGCATTACTCTAGTATGGGAAGTGATCTTGGTTGTCGAATCTCGAATCGCAAGTGAGAGTATGAAGTATGATTCTTGTTTAACAAGGCACTGCGTGACAACTTAACCTCGCAAAATCTCGATCGGTGTTTATTGCCGAGCTATGAAATTAACACTAGCTCAGGTTCAAGGCAATAGATCAGGAGGGTTTGTTTCCAGCTCTTGGCCTCTTAGCCTAAAATTTCAAGCCAGTAATCCTTCTGGTTCCTAAAAAAATTTTTTTTTAAATTGGGCTCGAAACCAAGATTGGAACACAAACCAACCCGAACATATTCTCCTTTTTGTATATGATCGGAAAGGGTATAATGTGGTTTTCAAGTTATTGAGCTTTTTCGTTTTGGACTTATAGGATTTGCCCGAATAAGGGCTTGAAGCAAAAGGTCGGTGTAACATGAAGTGGTCTGAAAGCTGACTTTAGTTTTGAAGTGCTGCATAAGACCGAGGACTTTTTTCACAAAATCTCAGCCTTTTAGCCTTCGTAGCTCTGGAATTGAAGTATCTGGTCAGAAGACAAATAGACAAACAGAGAAACAGACAGACACACACAAATACTTGCGTACCCAAATACATCAAGGGCCTCGCTATCATGCGCTTTGTCGATTGATGCACCTTAAAAAGAGATAAAAAGCCTTTTTTAAGAGTCATGACTGCCCTAAATCCAAGCTAATGATTGAGAAAGCAATGAGACTTAGGAAACCTTGTATTTCGGATTATGCTTTTCCAAAAGCATTTGGAATCAAGTTTCTATTTTAGATCAGAACTTCAAGACCTTGATTAGCTGTTGTTTCATAGCCTATTCTCCTCAATTTTGAGCCGCTCTCCTTCCATTCTTTTCACAGAA